AGCGACCCTAGGTCCAACAGAACGGAACACGGCCCGGTCCTGAGCCATCCTCACAATTGTTCCTCTGCCTGAGCCCATTGATGCAGCTGCTGTGTCCATCAGCTCCTGAGAACCTTCCTCTTTTTCCCTGCCCCTCCACTGTACCAAGCATGATGTCCTTCGCAGGGACTGGTCTCTCCTGACAGCATATCCAAAGGATGTGAGATGAAGTCTTGCCAGCCTTGCCTCTAGGAGCACCCTGGGCTCACTTTTTCCAGTACATATCTGTTCGTCCTTTTACTGGTCCAGGACACTTTCAATATTCTTCTCTGGCTCCCCATAGTAAGTGCATCGACTCTTCTACGGTCTTCCTTATTCAACATCTAACGATCACATGCGCATGATGCACTGGAGAATACCCTGGCCTGGGTCAGGCGAACTTTAGTCCTCAAAGTAACACCTTTGCTCCTCAGTATGCGAAAGGTTTCATGCAGCAGATTTGCCTAATGCAGTATGTCTTTTCATCTCTTGACTGCTGCCTCCACAAGCCTTGATTGTGGATCTAAGCCAGACAAAATCCTTGACAACTTCAACCTTGTCTCCACGTAGCATGGTGTTACCTATCGGTCTAGTTGTGAGGATTTTGGTCTTCATTAGATTGAGCTGTCATCCACAATGAAGGCTATAATCCTTGATCTCCAAGGTTGTGTCACCTGCATATCACAGGCTGTTAATAAACCTCCCTCCAGTCCTGATGCCACACTCTTCTTCTGATAAGCCAGCATCTCTGATTATGTGCTCAGCATACCGATTGATCAAGGATGGTGAGAGGATACCACCCTGATGAACACCTTTCCTGAGTTTCAATCATGCAGTATTCCCTTGTTCTGTCTGCGCAGCGACATCTGGACCCACGAACAAGTTTGAATGAGCACAATGAAGTGCTCTGGAATCCCCATTCTTCTCAAGGTGACCCACAGTTTATTATGGTCCACATAGTCGAATGCTTTTGCATAGTCCATGAAATACAAGTGAACATATTTCTGGTTGGTATTCTATGCTTTGAGCCAAGATTCATCTGACATTGGCCATGATAGCCCTTGTTCCACATCCTCATCCGAATCTGACCTGAAGTTCGGTGCCAGTGTGCTGCTATAACTGTTGTTGGATGATCATAAGTAACATTTTACTTGTGTGTGGTGTCAGTGATATCGTTCCATAGTTTAAGCATTCTGTTCGGTCATATTTCTTTGGAATGGGCCAAAATATGGATCTCTTCCAGTCATTCGGGCAGGTAGCAGTCTTCCAGGTTTCCTGGCATACATGAACGAGTGCTCCCAGTGCTTCCTCGGCATGTTGAAACATTTCAGTGGTATTCCATGAGTCCCTGGAGCCTTGTTTTTTGGCTGCTGCATTCAGGGCAGTTTCAGGTTTTCTCAGCACCACTGGTTCTTGTTCATATGCTGCCACCTGATATGGTGGACTGTCGACTAGTTCATTTTTGGTACAGTGACTCTGTGTATTCCTTCCATCTTCTCGTTGATGCTTCCTGCATTATTCAATATTTTGCCTATAGAACCTTTCAGAATTGCTATTCGAGGCTTGAATCTTTTTCTTGAGTTCTTTCAGTTTCAGATATTCTTCCATTTTATTTTTCTAATTGTAGGTCCTTGCACATTTCTTTGTAATATTTGGCATTGTCTTCTTGAGCTGCCCTTTGAAATTTGCTATTCTGCTCCCCGACTTCATCCTTACTTCCATTTGCTTTCGCCATTCTATGAGTAATAGCAAGTTTCAGAGTCTCTTCTGACATCCACTTTGATGTTTTCTTTCTTTCCTCTTTTTAATGACCGTTTGTGTTCTTCATGAGGGATGGTCTTGATGTCCTCCACATTCATCATTCGTGTTCAAGGCAGCACGTCTGCTCTTGAGATGTTCTTCAGTTTCAGGTGGGATAGACTAACGGTCCTATTCTGGCTCCTGTGGACTTGTTTTAATTTTCTTCAGCTTTGTCCTGAATGTACATCGGCGTCGCGATGGTCTGTTCCACCGTCAGCCCCTGGTCTGGTTTTAGCTGCTGATACTGAGTTTCTTCATTGTGTCGTCCCCCAGATGTAGTCAGATGATTTCTGTGTAGTCCATCTGGGGAAGTCCACGTGTGTAGTTACCTTTTGTGTTGTTGGAAAAAAAAGGAGTTTGCTCTGAACAAGTTGCTGGTCTTGCACAGTCCTGTCATGTGACCTCCAGCTTCAGTTCATCGCCAGTCCACATTTCCCAGCTGCGGTTCTTCCTCTTTGCTCCCAACTTTTGCATTCCTGTCACCAATAACTGTCAGTGCATCTTGATTGCATGTTTGATCAATTTCTGACTGAAGTTGTTGGTAGAATTCTTCAGTTTCTTCATCACTATCTTTTATGGTTGGTGCATAAATCTGAATAATAGTCGTATTGATTGGATTTCCTTGAAGGCAGTAGATATAATCTGATCACAGATAGCATTGTACTTCATGATGAATTTAATCAGATCCTTTCTGACAATGACTGCTACTCCATTCCTCTTGATTATGTTATTCCTGCCATAGAAAATCATATGATCTTGTGATTCAGAATGGCCAATAGCAATTCATTTCAGCTCACTAATGCTTAGGATATCAATCTTCACATGTTCCATTTCATTTTTGACACCTCTTCTGATTGTCCTAAGTTCATGTTTCGCACATTCCAAGTTCCAACCATTAGAAGATTTTTGCAGTTTTTCCTCTTTACCTTGAGCGGTGCCCCACCAGCAAATGAAGATCCCAAAGGCTCCACTCCCACAGGCTCCATCGGACTCACATCATAGTCGACTCCCTTCCAAGGAGTCAGCTTCTCTTCAGTCACATTCCTAGTCCTCTCGGACCTGAGAGGCCCGTTGCCGGCAGCAGCTCCAACAAGGTGCTGCTCCTTTGTTTGGGCCTTCAGTGTCCGACAGTGGCTCCTTCCTCCAAAGTGGGGAGCCGGGTCCTTCCGCATTGTCTGTTTCTAGTTTGGAAGCTCCGCTGAAACCTGTTTACCGAGCGACCCTGCTGGCGTTTGAAACAGCAGTGACACAGTTTCCAGCAACACATCAGCCACCACAGTAGGACCCAGTGACAGACAAGTGGTCAAAGAGACTCATTGCTGGGGCTCAGAAAATTATTTTATCAAGATGGAAAGAGGACCGTCTCCCAGGCAGAGAAGGCCACACTTCCTTGTTGCCGCTTGGTGGCACTGAGTTGGTCCCAACTCACAGTGTTGGCAGTAGCATGAGGCACTTCCGGTGCCGCGGCATGCTCACCGTCGTCTCTGCGTTCGAGCCCCTGAGGGCAGCCACTGTGTCAGTCCATCTGGACCCCTGAGGACCCTCCCCTCTTGCTGCCTCTCTAGCAGGCACACTGCCCTTCTGGGGGGACTTGCCCCTTCTGACAACATGTCCCCAGTAGATGAGATGCAGTCTCACCGGCCTCGCTTCAGAGGAGCGTTCTGGTTGTGCTTTCTCCGAACAGCTCCGTCCATTCTTCTGACAGTGCACCGTGTGCGCGGTGTTCGGCGGCGCCAGCACCAAACTCAAAGGCGTCAGATCTTCTCCGTTCTTACTTAATCACTGTCTGGCTTTCCCCTGTGTGTAAGGTGATTGGAAATACCATGACTGGGCCCAGCCACACACACCTTCATCTTCCCAGCAACATCTTTGCTTTGTAACACTTTAAAGAAATTTTTTTTGGTAACAGACTTGCCCAACACAATATGTCATTTGATTTTTTGACTGCCACTCCCATGGGCATTGTGGATCCAAGTAAGTTGAAATCTGTGATAATGTCCCTCGTTTCTCCCTTTATCACGATGTTGCTCATCAAGCTTGAGGCTATTTGTTTTCTTTGTGTTGAGATGTGATACCAAAAGTTACTAGGAACATAGGTCCAGGGGGCCTCGCCAGGCTTGACTTGGAGAACCCATAGTTTTTAGGAGAGTGGGAGAGTTGCTTTGAACCTCCCTCCTGGAATGCTGGGACATCTTCCAAGGGCCTGGCATCACTTTGGCACACCCTCCACGGAGCCTTCGTCTGATTTGTTGAGACCTCCCTGAGTGCCGTGGGGAGGCATCCTCACAGTCCTGCACACAGAGACGTCTGCAGATGTCGCTGGTCTCTGGTCCTCTTCCAGTGGTACGTTATGTGTGGTCTGTAAACCAATACTTGGAATGCTAAACAGGCCTCTCCAGACTGCTTTTCATCCCAGCATTGCTCCAGAATCTACCAAGAGCGAAACCCAAACCCATTGCCGCTGAGTCGATTCTGACTCCTAGGGACCCTGAAGTCAGAGTAGAACCGTCCCAGAGGGCTTCTTGCAAGGTTATATAGTGTTTACAGAAACAGGCGGCCCTCTCTCTCTCCGGAACAGCTGGTGAGTTCACATTGCTGACCTTTTGATTAACAGTTGAGCACTTAACCACTGTGCCACCAGGGCTCTGAAGCCACAGCCCATGGGACGACATTGCCCCAAATCCGGACTTCCGACCTGAGTGTTCAAGTCTTCCCTCCCCTGTTCCTCTTGGTTTGTCCAGCCTTTCCCCCCTATCCTGATTCCGTTTTTAAATAATGAACTATTTCTCACATCCAGAGAGCATAGCAAACAATGTACAGTTTCCCTGGCTTAATGACATCCTGCCGTGTCCCAGCCCTGTGGTGAGGTCTGGGGCCTGGACACTGCAGCTGAGGGAGGGCCTGGGCCACCCCCTGGGGACCTGCCCTACGTGTGTACAAAAGGAACAGCCCTGTGCTTTGGAGGGGTCCATCAAGGTCGTGGGAAAATGTTGTTCTCATCTTTTAATTCCATTTTTCCCGCAAACCTCAGAGGTCCCTTGAACAGGGTTTGGTACCGTATCCTTGGTTCCAGACATCCCCTGGGGGTCGTGGAACGATAGATCCCCTGTGCTCGAGGGGGAACGACGGGGCCACGGGGCAGATGAAGACCGGCGCACTGACAAGGCCTTGGTGGGTTTCAGGTGCTTGTCCTGGCCGTGAAGCAGCTCTTCCCGGAGTTCGAGTTCATGTGGCTGGTGGAGGAAGCCAAGAAGAACCTGCCCCTGGAGCTGGATTTCCTCAACGAGGGGCGCAACGCCGAGAAGGTGGCGCAGATGCTCAAGCACTTTGACTTCTTGAAGGTGGGCAGGGCAGCGGGGGCACCGTGGTCGGGGGGAGGACGGCCTCTGCCCCAGCAGCCCCCCTTTCAGAACGCAGGTGGGAACCGTCTTTCCCAGGGCGAGCGTTGTGTCAGTCATGTCTCACCCCAAGCCCTTCGGGGCAGAGCTGCAGGGAGACCCACGTGTAATCATGGGTCCGCCCGCCCGCCCGCCCCACCAATGTCTGCCGACTGATCCACACTAGAGAGACCCTCATCTCTGCCCCAGGGCCAACAGACCGTGCCCTTTGCTGCCTCCAAGCAGAAGATGGAGACATCGATGAGGGTGGCAATCAGAATTACCGAGCCCTGAAACACTTCACATATACCGTTTCTGTGCATTTAATATGCACTCGGTTCTGCTACAACGAAAACCCACCACATTGCGAAAAGCCACACAACAGAAACCACGGGGCAGATGGGCAAAGTGGGGGGAGAGATACAGCACTCAAAACCTTCATCAGTGCTGCATAAGAAAAGGTAACCAGCCAGTTGCCCTTGAATTGATGTGACTTCCCGGGACCCCAGGCACATCAGACTGTAGGGTCTTCAAGGGCTGATTTTGGGGGTTGGGGTGGTGAGAGGGTTTCCAGGCCCTTCTTCTCAGGCACCTCTGGTCTGGACTCAAACCGCTGCCTTCTGCTTAGTAACTGACGATATGTTATCCATTGGCATCACCCAGGGACTCAACGAAAAGAGAGAGCAAGATAGGAACCTAGTCAATACGCAATTCCAGTTGCGCACGTGTTCGCTGGTCAAGCAGTACTTGGTGCTGCAATGCACGTGGCACTGCGCCTTGCCACTTGCCTGGGGGAGTGGGCTTGGGGGCTTGCAGCGTTTGAGGTGTTGTGAAGCGGCAGGGCAAAGATGGAGAACGACGTATGCAGACGGATGCAGCCCGTCACCCAGGGTGAGGAAGGAGGTGTGTGCTGACGTTTTTTTGAGTGCACCTCGTATTTCTCCCAGGTGACGTTGCTAACTGGGTGCTGTGATCAGACGGTTCCCTAATGTTTCAATCACATCGTGGCAAATGTGTTATTTACAGAAGTGACTGTGCCATCAGACCCTTGGGTGGCAAGCATTATCAAACGACGCAAGGTCCCAGCCCTCAGTGCGGCAGCGTGTTGGATATAATAAGTGTTTCCCAAGTTCAGAAGAAGGGATGCCCATAGGACCAGCAGATCTGTGACTACCAGGAACCCCACTCCCCATCGGGCTGGGGGGAAGGTCACAAATGTGGGGTTACCAGGCGGAGTGATCTATGCTATGCAAGGCTGCTCAGGAGGGGTGGGTTCCAGGAGGGTGGTGACCAGTGCACAGTGGCGGGGCATGTTTGTTGAAGGTTTCTCTGTGCCGGCGCTGTACAGACCCTTTTACAGATGGCAGTGGTGGTCACAGAGTCAGGGAGCCAGGCCTAGAAACCGGCTTGACTCCAGCTCTGGGGTGCTGCTCAGCGCATTCCGCTGACTCTTCCCCCTAGAACACTCCTCAGAGCCAGGCCTAGGAGCCAGGCACACGGAACCATCTCCTCCAGCGTTCCCATGGAAACAGCGAAATCATCCCCTAGCTGGGGCCAGCTAGTGACTGCCAGACCAAGACATGTAATAATCATAATAACACACAGTTTTGAAAAATGGGTAAATAATGTGGTGATTCGACCCACTGCTTCCAGCACCCTTCCTATGACAATGGGGAAATTAGGCTCCCGAGTAATTAACTTTGCCTAAACACGTAGCAAGTGGGAAGTGAATTTTGCATGGTGAACCTGGTTCACCTATTCGGACTGGCGAGAAATTTTTTTTTTTTTTTTACCCTGGCACCCCATCCCAGCATCTGTGTGTAAGTAAGCCTCAGCAGAGTTTACCTCTCAGGGTGGGAGGCAGCTTGCACTTAATGACCAAGTGGGGCTTGATGACCTCAGTCCTGTGATTTCGGAAGTGGGGCCTAATGACCCCAGTCCCGTGATTTCAATCTCCGTGCTGCAGACAAGCAGAGCATGTAATCAGGGTGTCGGAGGGACGTGGTGTGGACAAGGCACGACCCCGCTCAGTGGTTAGGGCTGGGCATGGGTAGATCGAGGGTGTGTGTGTGTGTGTGTGTGTGTGTGTGTAAGCAGCGAGACTAGTGATAGAATTGAGAAAAGTCCGGGGACCAGGTAGGCCGAGAGAAGCCTATGGCCACAGGTTTTGGGGAGCAGAAGGGAGGAGCATGTGTCTGCCTGCCTGGGATTGGGGGCAGGGGTGGGTCATCAGCTGGGCAGTGCCACATCATTCCAGCGTCCTCTTAGTCTGAAGGCACCACAGAGCTTTTGTACCAACTCTTGCTTTCGGAGAAGCCCTGTGATTTCCGAAGCATCTCAAAGGTGAGGAACCGACGGCTTCCGACAGTGAGATGAGCCATCCCCACTGCCTGCCAGTGTCACACAGCAGGGCCTTGCAGTTGCTGTGACCCTGTAAGCTCTGGCACGGGTATTTCAAATGCCAGCGGGGTCACCTGTACCCACCCAAAGGGTCACTGCTGTCAGGCTCATCTCCACTCATAGCCACCCTGTAGGACAGAGGAGAATTGTTCCCTTGACCTTCCCAGGCTGTAGATCTGCGTAGCAGCAGACAGCCTCATCCTTCTCCTTCAGAGCAGCTGGTGAGTTTGAACCAAAGACCTGGAGCTGGGTGTTGGCAAGGGGAAAGGGAGGGCAGAGTTAGAATGGAGCATTGTCTGCTCCCGAGGGCTGGAAGGCAAGGGGCTTGAGGAAACTTACAAGTCCCTGACCCAATCCACTTGACCTCTGGTGAGAACTGGCACAGCCCATTCTGTGCACACTGCACAGGCATCGAAACGGAGGGAAGTAGTGGCTAGGGTTCAGGCAAGGAGTTGAAATGGGTCTGAAATGAGCTTGAACCCGACTTTTTGCAATGCGGACTCTGGCCCGGGTAAGAGGACATTCCCACCTTTCCCTCCAACTCCCAATTGTAGTGGGGGCCCTCTGCTGGGTCTGGCAGGCACAGAGGGGCTGGAAAGCCGGTCAGTGGCCCCTGTCCAAGGGGAAAGGTGGTGCAGTCTGGCAGTGCTGACTCTGGTAGTCCTGTCTCTGTCCGAGCGGAACTCTGCTCCTTGGGGCTGCCAGTGGCTGCTCTGTGGAAGGCAGATGGCCAGATCTTCCTTCTGCAGTGGATTTGAACAGTCCGCCTTTCTGTCGGTAGTTAAGCAAAAGCCCTTTGGCACCCCCGGGCTTTGAACCCATGGCTGGTGGCCGCCCCACACTTCAGAGTGGAACTGCGTGCCACAGAGCGTCCAGTGGCTGTGAGCCGCGTGGAACAGATTGCCAGGCCTTTCTTCTGCGGGACTTTGGCATGGATTTGAACTGCCAGCCTTTTGGGGTGGTAACTGAGCCAAGCCAATAACTGTGCTGCCAGGAGCCAGGAGTCTCTGGAGAAGTGGGGTGGGGTGGGGCACTAGCCTTCCCTCCGTTTCCTGCCCAGGCATGGCCATGGTCTTGCTCAACCTCTTCTCTTTTTGTGGGAAGAAGGATCTCTGCTGTCTGGCTCCTTGTAGCCCTCACCCCTGCTTCTGTCCCTGTCCCTCCCCCTGTCCCTCCCTGTGGGCCTCGCCCTCGGCTTCCTGCCCGCTGGCCCATCTGACCCGCCCTTTCCCATTCCAGGTTCCCCAAATCGACTGGGAGCTGTCCACCAAGAGGGTCCTGCTGATGGAGTTTGTGGACGGTGGGCAGGTCAATGACAGGGGCTATATGGAGAGGAACAAGATCGACATCAATGAGGTGAGGCCCAGGGCTCAGTGGCTGCTGGGCTCCAGCACGGGGGTGGTCCCGGCTTGCGCAGACATGGCCAGGATGAGGCCTTGAAATGTGGGGCATGTGGGAGGGAGCCCTAGCTGCTAGCTGAAAAGTCAGTGGTTTGAATCCGTATTCTAGCAAAAGTCGAGGCTGTCTGCTCCCATAAAGACAAAGTCTTGGGAACTTGCAGGGGCAGTTTTCCTGCCCTATAGGGTCTCTCTGAGTTGGAGCTGACTCTCTGGCAGGGGGTTTTAGTGTGGCCTGGAGGATCAAGCCCGCAGAGCGGCTAGAGTCAGGCTGGAAGCCTGGGCCTCTCTGGCTCTGGGGCTTCTTGGAAGCCACAATGGGAGGGGGTGCTGCACAGTACATGGAGAAGCTACTACAAATTGGTGGGAAATGCAGACTGAGTCCCCCCGGCAGTCTCCTGGGAAAGCTGCTGCTCTTGGGCTCCCCTTGCTTCACCTGAGGCAGCGCCAATCATCTGTCTTGCCTGTGGGGCGCCTGCGTCTGGCTGCTCTCAGAAAGAGTCCTGCTGCTTGGGGGACCAGCTCCCCTCTCTTTGCAGATGGGAGCAGCACTTGGAGGAGAGCCAGTGTCCCTCCGAGGCCCTCTGCCACACCCTCCTTCACTGTTGGCCCTCCAGTAGGCACACGGGGGTGGGGCTAAGGAAGGTGGCAGGAGCTGGGGGCCTGTGCCCACCTGGATCCTTGACTTAAAGCCATTGGCTCTGGTGCAGGAGGCGTGGACGGGAGGTCACCCTGTAGAGGAACCCGGGCTCTGCCTCCCGGTCAGCAAAGAGCCCAGAGCCCCTCTGCCCCATCTGCCAGCTCCTTGGCATTTTCTTAGGACCACCTGCCTTGGGATGTCCAGTCCAGCAGCACCCCCAACCCCATTCATCTCTCCAGAGCCAGCTCAGCCCCAGGCACTCCCGGTGTGGAATCTGCAGTGGCTCTGGCTTTTAAAGACAAGGACAAGCACCGAAAGATGTGCTCTGGGGAGCTGCTCGCTCGGGGACATGGAGGAGGTGGGCAGGGAAGCTTGGGGTGGTGCTTGCAGAAGCCAGAGCTCATCTTCTCTTGCCTCTGCCCCTCGTTACAGCCACATTGCAGGTGGAGGCTCAGAGACACAGAGAGCGGAGGTTACTTGCTGAAGGTCATATATCTCAACTGGCCACTTCAGTCGGTTTTCACATGGACATACCTTGTAACTACCAACCAGACCATTCTCCAAATCATTTCCAACCCACTCAGCATGGCTCCCTTATATGCCATCCCAGGCTACACCCCAGCCCAGCAGACCAGCCACTGTGCTGATTCCAGTCCTCATGGGTTACCTTTGCCCCCGTGTGGGACTGCATATAAGCGGGTGCGCTATCTGTGTTTGCATAGCAGGCATGATCTCCTGGAATTTCTACTCTGGTCCATTGGTCTCCTGGCCCATCCTTGCAATAATACCACACCGTCTTCATTCCTTCCTTAACCCCCTGCCTCTGGCCTGTGGAGTCTTTATGACTGTCGTTGGGAAGCACATTGGTATTCTGAGATGATGTGTTTACGCTGTTTCCACACAGAAATCCCAGGCTGGGCCATGGGCCTTGGATTCTACTGTGTTGTTGCAGGTCACCACGTGATGTTTCAAGCGGATTACCGACAGGCTGTACTCCGCAGAAATTAATCTCGTATGTCTCTTACAGCCAAGCATTGATATGGAAGACTAGGGGGTGGTGGTGGTGGTGTGGTGTGGTGTGGTGTGGTGTGGTGTGGTGTGTGTGTGTGTGTGTGTGTGTGTGTAAAAGACTCCATGGTCTGAGACAGAAGTCTGAGGTTCTAAATGACTTCCTAGGTTTTAAGAAAACTTCAGGGGATATTTTTGGTTGAAGGCTTAAACATTATCTCAGGGTGATTGTTTCAGGGGTTCTTCCACCCTCTGTGACCCTAGAAAGCCTGGAGTTCATGGGAATTTGAAATTCAGCTTGCATTTCTCCTCTCCGGACCAGGATTCTTGTATGGGATCTCTGATCAGTGTTCAGTATTGCTAGCTGGGTACCATGTAGTCCTTGGGGTCTCACGACAGAAGGCGGTGGCTTCCTTTTTCCTCTTTTGGTGGGGAGGAGGCCGCGGCTTGGGACCAGCTGTGGCTTGGATGGCTGCTGACGTCCTCATACTACTGCAGGGTGGTTTGCTTCGCTCGTTAAAAAGGGCTGCCCTGAGCATTGTGCTCTTTTTAAAAAAAAAATCATTTTATTGGGGGCTTGTACAGCTCTTATCACAATCCATCCATCCATCCATCCATCCATTGTGCCCAGCACATTTGTACATTTGTTGCCATCATCATTTTCAAAACATTTTCTTTCTACTTGAGCCCTTGGTATCAGCTCCTCATTTTCGCCTCCTCCCTCCCCCAGGGCATTGTGCTCTTGTAAGAACCACGGGAGCCAGATGACGACAGCAGTTGCCCAGTCGGGGTAGAAACCTCAGGGGGCAGGGAGTCGGTGCTAGTGAGGGAGGATCAACTCTGAAAAGGAGGGCAAGGACGTGGCACGGCTTGAAGACTGTCTCTTCAGTGTCCTGAATGGTACAGGCCCAAACTGGTGAGCTGGTGTGTGCTCTACCTATCCTCCCAACAGCAGCAAACTCAGTGACCTTTAGGAAAGGAGAAAGTCTTCCCAGGACAATGGGACTCAGCAAGGCCCCCCCACCCCCCCTCCGGAAGGATGCGCCCTCCAGGGGACAGCCTGCCGGGAGCATTCCTGCTGGGAGCGTTCTGCCGGCAGGGACAGTGGGTGACCAGCAACGAAGCTGCCACCCTGATCTTGGGGTTGCTTGGTTCGTCCAAGCTGGCGAATCACCCACCTCTGCTTGTGAAGGACCCCTTCCCCACAGCATCCCAACCAGGCCCAGCGTGTGGGGATCCAGAGACCAGTCTAAACAGCCAGCTCCTGAGAGACTTGGGCGGTCAAACACCAGTTACGAGGCCCAAGTGCCATCCCTGCCAGTGGCTTGCTGTGTGGCCTTGGGAACATGGCCTCCCCTCTCTGGGCCTCAACTTTCTTACTGGCTGGTTTGGACTGAGTGGGCTCTAAAGCATTTTCCTGCTTGAGATCTTGGGGACCTCTACAGGTGGTCCGGAGCCGCCTGTTCGGAGGCGGGGATGGGGCTGCTCAGCAGAGCTCCCTGGGTGCTTTGTCCCCCAGGCGAGGACGCAGCCCCCCAGGAGCCCTCTCCTGTGGGGAGCCAACAGCCTGCAGGGGCCCTCGTCCAGCCGTGTGTCTCTGAGTACAGCCGACGGTACCTCGGGTCCTGACCCGGTGATCATATTTGCCAATCACTCGAAGAGCCAGGGACAGTGACTGCCATTGATCTCATTAAAAGTAAAGGTCGAGCCGGAGCCGCTCTCCGGGCCAGCTGGAGCCTTCTCCAGCCACAGAACGGCTATTGATTGCAGGACCTTTATCGAAGGTTAATTGGATTTCAGTGAGTGTATGTTTAAGACCCTGCCTGGGCTGAGGACCAATTTAATTTGTGGGAAATTAGCCAAGAGAAAGGTGACAGAGTTGGGTGCGTGAGGGAGCCGGGACCGGTGACTGGTGGCCTGAGGGAGGGTGGTGGTGGCCATCTCTGAACCACGGGCCCCAGCCTGCAGCCACATGCATGCATGCCTCCGGAAGCTGGCAGCCAGCTGGGGGGAGAGGGCCAGGGGCGATTCGGGGTCAACCGTGATGTCCTCTGTGCTTTGCATTCCCGTTGCCCCTGCTACCACTTGAGTCAGCCTCCCTCTCCTGCCAGGCAGGGTCAGGAGGAGGTCCTGGGGGCCTCTTTCAACTTTGCTTTTAGGGCCTCCTAGTTCTTGGGGCGCCCTGGGACTCCGAGACAGGAACGAGCTGACTTCCCTACCAACCTAGGGGCCATGCTTCCTAATCAGCTGAGTCATTGCCGGTCCCCGCCTGCCAGCCTGTCATCCTGGGGCGGCTGCCATTCTGTTGTGATGCTGGACGTTAGGCCACCAGCATTTCAAAAGCCAGCAGGGTCACCCATGGTCAGCAAGTTCCAGTGGAGCTTCCGACCAAGATGGAGTGGGAGAAAGGCCTGTTGGCCGGTGTCTGTAAGTGAGCCCATGGAAATCCCACGGGTGGCAGCACAGGGTTGTCTGGCTGACCTGCTTTGGACTTCAGGAGGGGTCAGTAGCTGGAGAAGAGCCCCGTGTGTGGTGAAGTGGAGGGTCAGGTGAGGGAGACCCCTGGTGAAATGGATTGGCGTCACTGTGCGCGTGCTCCGTGGTTGAGATCGCCGTGACTTAGCATAGATGCCACGGCACACACATCGCCCGCCAGTAGCCACCGGCTCTCCTGGCAGACACGGCTGCTCCCTTCCTTTTGCCTGCCATCATTGGCTGTGGGTGGGGTCTGCCTCCTCCTTCCTAGTGGGATCCATGGGAGTGGAGCTAACGGCGTGGGCTTCCCCTGCTGTGCTTACCCAGAAGCCCCCTGCAGGTTTTTGTCTTTCTTGTAGCTTCACAGTCCATTCCATGCCACTGTAGGTGCCTCACGTTGGTCTCTGAGTGCCACTGATGGGTAGCTGCGGTGAGCAGACGCTGCCTGCCAGCAGTCGCAGTTCAGCAGGGGACAGCAGCAGTGCTAAGGCTTCACGGGGCTGGGCGTGGTGGGAAGAGCATTGCACCTCCCAGTCAGGCTGCAGGGTTCTGGTGCCCCCTTTACCTGGCCAGCGCCCTTGGGCAAGTGACTTACACCTGGAGTCTGAGTCCCTTCGTCTCTCTGCCACAGATGATGTTAGGTGCCGTGACCTAACAGAAGGAAACACTGCCCGGTCCTGCGCCGCCCTCACTGTGGCTCTTCTGTTGGAGCTCACTGTGGTAGCCACTGTGTCAGTCCGTCTCATTGAAGATGCCCCAGTAATTTACCTAGCATGAGGTCCCTCTCCAGGGACTGGTCTCTCCAGACAACATGTTCAACGGATGTAAGATGTGCT